ATACATGAGCGAGGCGACCTAGATTTAAATCTTTACCACAGTTCAGCCAAGTGAGTTGGGCAAATCATTAAACTCACTGAGCTTCAGTTCCTTCATTTGTAAAGCAGGGAGGAACTCTTTATTGAGTGTTCCACTCCATAGGATACCGAGTATACACTCATGAATAATCCAGGAGTCTAGTCCCTGCCCTCATGAGACAATTGGAATAAAGCTTAAACATTCCCCAAATAATCATTTTTAATTATAGCTGCGAAAGATACTGTGAAATACGGGAAAGTGCAGTCTGCAATGAGGGTGTAAGACGGAGGGGACCAAAGCAGTTCTCAGGGGTCAGGGGCAGCATCCCTTGAGGAAGAAGATTGTAAACTGAGACCTGACAGGTGAGAAGGTGTTAGACAAATGAAGGGGTGGAGGTGGAAAGCTGTCCAAGCAGAGGAAACAGTTTGTGCAAAGGCTCTTGGCACGAAAGAGCTTCAAGGTTAGCAAACTGGAAGAAAGCCAGGGTGGAGGGGAGTGATCCAGGGAGGGTGTGGTACATGGGGGTGCTGGAGAGATGTATGCAGGGGTAAGGCCCTCAACTAATGGCCACCAAAAGAATCTGGGCTAATCAGAAGGGAAGGGGGACTTCACTGATAGATTTGTAGCGGGAAAAATAGGATTTTTGTACAGGTCACGCAACTGTGATCTTTGTAAAGAATAGATTTTGGGGACAATACAGTGGTAGGAGGAGGGGTTAGGAGGCTCTGGCAGTGAAGGCAAGAGGTGGATGGAATGGGAGGAGAGATGGAGAGAAGCATATGTATTGAGAGGTATGAGAGGTGATGGTCAGTGCTTGGTGACTGGATGTGGGTAAGATGGTGTCAGGATAATTCCCAGACTGCGGCAAGAGCAGCTGGGTACGTGAATGTGCATTTACTGATGACAGCCTTGGAGGAGCAAAGGATTTGGGAGACTGTCAGTTTGGGACATGTTAAGTCACCCACGTGGAGGTGTCCGAGAGGGAGGTGTGCAAATGTGTAGCTACATGGAGGGGACTGGGCTCGAGCACTGGCATTTGGGGATTGGTGATATAGAGTTGGTTCATAAAGATGTGGGACCACACAAGGTCTTGGGGGGAGGTACAGAGCAAGGAGAGAGGAGGAGTGGCTGTGAGCCTGAGCTTTGCTGCCAGCAGAAGTGAGGGGAACAGAGAAAGGAGCCCGGGAAGGAATGGCTGGAGAAGGAGAGTGTGATGCATCAGAAACCAACATTGATGCTTCTTGAAAGGGCAAATATCAGGTGCAACCAGAAAAAATAGCCTTTTCTTTCTTTTCTTTTCCTTCTTTCCTTCTTTCTCTCCCTCCCACCTTCCCTCCCTTCCTTCCTATAGATCCAAAACAGGCAATATTGGCAAGCTTAAATGGTTCAACCTAATTAGACCAAAACCTGAAAAAGTAACTCATGACCTTGGACTGAGCAATTCTGGTAGAGATGTTGGAGCAGAAGCCAGATGAGCTGGGGAGAGTGGATAGAAAGGAGACTAATAAGGAAATGGAATTGACATGATTGGATTGGCTGAGTGCAGCAGATCGGGTTGAGAGAGGGTGAAATCAAGGGTAATTACCAAGTCTCAGGTTTGGCAGCTGAGTGAGTAAATGGTTGGTTCAGCCAGTGAAATGGGGGGGGGGGCGGTTTACACCGATCATGGAATATTGTGAGTGTGGGGTAGGTGTAATCTGAGATACCTCTGAGTCTTCTGAGTGGGAAGACGAGCTGACATTTGGGCCTGTGGAGACATTCATTACCATCCATGTGTTCCCGACTCCCATATATGGCCTGTTGGGAGTCAAAAGCATGTAGATGGGAATGAAATAAGTCAATGAGTATTTATTGAACATTTACTAAGTACAAGCAATTGTCTAAGTGCTAGGGTTACACCAGTGAATAAGACAAAGACCCCTGTACCTTGAAGCTTACAGTCTATGAGGGAGGTCAGACAATAGGCAAATAAACATAAGATAACATTAAGCTGTAGGAGATGCTGTATAGGAAATGAAGCAGGGTAAGGGACTAGGGAGTAGCAGGAATACTCCCTATTTTTGGTAGGTTAGTCAGGGAAGGTCTCTCTCAGAAGGTAACATTTGAGCAGAGCTCCAGAGATGAGGGGATGAACCATGTAGATATATGGGGGAGATAGGAAGGAAGAAGCTGGGGAAGTTTGAGGACCAGCAAGGAGGCTGGTGAGGCAGGAGTGGAGTGAGTGATGAGGTTGGAAAGCCCGGCAAAGGCCAGATCTTGGAGGGCTCCATAGGCTTTGGAATGGCGGATGGAAAGTCCTGTGTAGATAACCCCAAGCTGCTGGATTGGGCAGGAAAAGAGAATTCTGAAAGACTTCCCCTTCCATCAGAGCCCCAGAGCCAGAAAAGCCCCTTTGTGCAGTGGGTGGGTGGCCCATTCTAGCTGGGGGAAGGCTGTGCTTGTTCCTGAGGCCTGCTCCTCGGGGGGGCTAGACAATGGGCCCCTTGTGGTTGGACTTGAGGGCCAAGTGGCCCTCTCTATGATGGGATTCCTCAGCCAAGAAGCATGTGACCCCAAGACCTTGGCTTCTTGCCAAAGGGTCTGGGCCTGCTGTTGGGGAATGGGGTAGAGAGATGGGGAGAGGCTGGGGGAAGGGCGAGGGAACCACTGTGGAGGCCTTCTCCTGAGACAGGGGTGAAGGAGGTGGAGGGATGGGCAGGGAGGGGGCTGCGGCTCTGCTTGAGGGAGCAGGGGAGGGCTGCAGAGCTGGAAGCTGTGGACAGCATCAACAAACGGTCTCCACAGCAGGGCAGGAGGGAGGGGCTGGCCGCGCCTGGGCCTACTGGGTAGGGGCAGGCAGAAGAGGGCCTGACAAACCTATATCTTCTGTCCCTGCAGAAGAGGAGAGAGCATGGAGCTGGAGAGGATTGTCAGTGCAGCCCTCCTTGCCTTCGTCCAGACGCACCTCCCAGAGGCTGACCTCAGGTAGCAGCAGCTCTCCTAGAAGGATCATGCCAGGGTCAGGGTTGGAGCTGCTGGGCAGGACTCTAGGCCCTGGCCCATGGAAAGACTGGGGTGGGAAGCCCTCCGCTCTAATCCTGAGGTGGGGGAGAGCTGATTATGATCTGCTGGTATGGCCTTAATCTTAACCTGTCCCTGTCACCTTGCTGGACAGATGGGAAACCGAAGCTCTGTGGGAGGGTGGGATACTTTTTGGCTTCAAGGCTTGAAGTCTGGTTCATGGACACAGTGAAGCCGAGGGCTCGAGTCTCAGGCTGAGGGGGAGGGAGTGTTGCTGCAAGTACCCAGTGTCCTACTCAGGGCTTGTCCTGTCCCCTTCCTGCAGCGGCTTGGATGAAGTCATCTTCTCCTATGTGCTTGGGGTCCTGGAGGATCTGGGCCCGTCCGGGCCATCAGAGGAGAACTTCGATATGGAAGCCTTCACTGAGATGATGGAGGCCTATGTGCCTGGCTTTGCCCACATTCCAAGGTGGGATGTGGCTGGGGCAAAGAGGGGGCGGAGGGCCGGCAGACGGTGGAGGGTGGGCAGAGTCGTCCTCTTACCACCTCCTTGTCTTTTCAGGGGGACAATAGGGGACATGATGCAAAAGCTCTCAGGGCAGTTAAGTGGTGCCAGGAACAAAGGTGAGTTTGGGGCCTGGGATGACTCATAACCCCCATCCCCCCAAATCCTGACAAACCCGATGCTCTCTCTGCTTCCTTAAGAGAACCTGCAGCCACAGAGCTCTGAGGTCCAAGGTCAGATGCCCATCTCCCCAGAGCCCCTGCATCGGCCTGAAAAGCTCAAAGAAGAGACTAGGGCTTCTCCTACAGCTTCTGGAGACACCCAGGATGAGGTACTGGTAGAGGAGGGTACTGGGAGAGAATTAGGGGCCAGGAAAGAAAGAAGTTCTGCTTCTTGTCAACACCTCTGCCCACAGGCAGTTGGTGCTGAGGAGGAGCTGCTGCCAGGGGTGGATGTCCTCCTGGAGGTGTTCCCTACCTGTTCAGTGGAGCAGGCCCAGTGGGTGCTGGCCAAAGCTCGGGGAGACTTGGAAGAAGCTGTGCAGATGCTTGTAGAGGGGAAGGAGGAGGGGCCTCCAGCCTGGGACGGCCCCAACCAGGTATCCTCTGCTAGACATCCCCCTCCACCCAAAGCCTCAGCCCCACGGTGCCATATTGTTAAGCCCCCGCCCCTAGCCTATCCCTGTCTGCTTCTGCTGGTGCCCTAGGCTTTAGACCGGGCTTCTCTTCTCTGCAGGACCTGCCCAGGCGCCTCAGAGGCCCCCAAAAGGATGAACTGAAGTCCTTCATCCTGCAGAAGTGAGTCTGGGCTGGGCTGGGCTAGACCCTTAGAAGGTCTTTCCGGGGCGGCAGGAGCGTCAGCTAGCCAGTTTTTGGCAGGTACATGATGGTGGATAGCGCAGAGGATCAGAAGATTCACCGGCCCATGGCTCCCAGGGAGGTGAGAGGGCTATGGCTGCTAGAGGTGTGGAGTGGGGGGGACCATACCCTGGCTTCTGCTGCTCACCGTCCAGTTGCCTGACAGGCCCCCAAGAAGCTGATCCGCTACATTGACAACCAGGTAGTAAGTACCAAGGGGGAGCGGTTCAAAGACGTGCGGAACCCTGAGGCCGAGGAGATGAAGGCCACATACATCAACCTCAAGCCCGCCAGAAAGTACCGCTTCCACTGAGGCATTCGCCAGACTCTGCCAGAGCCTTCTAGGCTCAGATCCCAGAGGGATGCAGGAGCCCTACACCCTCCCACAGGGCCTGCCCTAACTCCTGTCCCCCTTCTCCACCCTGCTCTCTACTTCCTTGCCCCACACTGTTGACCTCCTCTTGGAGCTGCCCAAGGGCACAGTAAAGGTGGCCCCAGGAAGGTGTGAGTGCATTCTGGTCATTTCTGCTCAGCATTGGGGTGATGGGGTACTGTGTCTGTCTGATCTCTCTCCCAACTTCATATCCCTTATCTCCAACAGGGCAGCAGCGGCAGGCAAGTGGGGGTAAAAATCTCTTTATTTGAAGCTCCAGAGTGGGGCAGGGCATCCGCCTCTAACCAGAGGCCCCCACAGTTCAGTTTCCCTACAGTTCATAGTCAGGCCCCGCCACACAGTCCAGCTGTGCCCCGTCGGCAGACAGGTCAGACCTGCAGGTTGACAAAGGGTGCAAAGCCTGCCATGTCCTGCAGCAGCACCAACGCCTGATGCAGCGGCGGCTCCACGTCGATGTCCACGCCGCGCTTCCGCAAGCGGCTCAGGCTGGGCTCGGCCACATGGTGGCAGTGCCGCACCCGCAGCGAGCGCAGCGCGGGGCAGTACTCGGCCAGCGTCCTGGGGAAGGAGCCGGGTGAGGCTGGGGGCCAGAAGCCGCTGCGCCCACGGTGGGGGAGCCAGCAAAGCCCCTGTCTCCCTCAAACTCAGAGCATACTCTTCCCCCTCCATAAACGAGGGAGGGGAGCCTGGGTGGGGTCATACATTCAAAGTCTCCAGGGAACCCGAGACTTCCTCCTGTCTCTTACAGGGGGAAACTGCTCCTTTGCTCCGCCCAGGATTTCAAGGTTTTCCCTAGTTGAAGAAAAGCCAGAAACCGGACTATGTGCAATCTGCCAACGTGTAAATACTGGTTCAAAAAAGTTTTTTTTTTTTTTTTTTTTTTCCAACTATGGGCTCTATGGTCTAGGCAATCCTAGAAGCCTTTCCTGGTCTGAATGGGGGTGCCGTGGTAGCAGAAAAATAGCACCACAGTTCTGCCTTGCGACAGCTACAGCCTGCCCCTAACCCGAGGCTAAGTGAGTGACTGACCTCTTCCCAAGCCACCGATCCCATGCCCAGGCACCTGACGCCGTCGCTTCCGACGCGGAGGCAGCCGGTTAGGTCGAGGTGCTCGAGTTCCGGGCAGTTCCGGGCCAACTCTTGGACCGCGGCGTCCCCCACATTGGCGTTGACTGCCAGCGAGAGGCTGCGGAGGCCCGCGCCGCGCCTCTGCGCCAGGTATACGATGGCCTCATCCTTGAGCTGACGGCAGGCGGTGAGGTCCAGCTCCTCAAGGGCCGGACAGCGGTCGGCGAGGCCGCGCAGCGCCAGGCCATCTACCCAGTCACAGTGCGCGAGCGAAAGGCGCTGCAGGCGGGGGCAGCCCTCCGCCAGCGCCCCCAGCGCGCGGCGGCTCAGTTGCCCGCAGCCGGCCAGCGCCACGCTCCGCAGCTGCGGATTCCGCGTCAGGACAGGCACCAGATCCTCGTCCGACAGCCATTCGTGACACGGCGCCAGCGCCAGCTCCTGCAGCCCCTCAGCGTCCCGCAGCAGCCAGGCCAAGGCGGCCCGCGGAATCTGCGGACCCACCTGCGGGCAGGGAGGCACCTCGACTCTCAGCGGGTCCCGGGGGCGGGACCGACGCTGCCTCTCCGCCCCTGAAGAGTTCTTTCCCGTCAGCAACCCGCCCTCGGGGTTTGCCACCTGCCCTCCCAGGAAAGACCCCAAGCGCCTTCTGAGATGACACCCGGCCCTCGCCCTTTCAGAGTACTTCCCGCGGCGTGGATCGCTTCCCGGGCACTCTTGGAGGACCGGGAGGGTCCGCAAGGGTAGACAGACAGGCTGGGGGCTGGGCTGGAGGCGGGGCGGGGGCGGTACCCAGACGGGGCGGGGCTTTGGCCTCCGGCTCTCACCTGAGCGGCGTCGAAGCGGCGCAGCCCCGCCAGGTGCAGCTGCACTAGCGCCCGGAAGGCCCGGCTGACGCGCTGCAACCGGAGCAGCTGGCGTAGCGGCACCCGGCTCAGGACGTGTGGGAGCAGCACGTCTTCCCAAGGCAGGTCCAGGAGCCTGCGGGTAAAGGGGCGTTGGCGGTGGCGTCCCCCGGCCGCAGTCACCAGCGAGTCCGCCTCCGTTATGCTTCTGCGCCCCGGCTCCTAAGAGCGGCCCCCAGACCCGGCCCAGTTCAGCTCCTCTCCCCCAGGTCCTTCTTCCCTTTCCCGGTCCCTCCGGTGCTCGGTACCTGACGGCTCCGGGATCTTGCTCCCCTCCGGACGGCTCCATCGGTGGCTCCATCGGCTGCCTCTTGCGCGTGCGCAGTAAGGTCTCGCTTTGGCCTTGGAGCGGCCTCTGCGAACCCGCCTCCTTGAGCTGTAGAGGCAGACCGATTCAATCGAGTGCGATCTCACTGAGGATCCTATCTAAAAGCGTTCCGGATGGATCTCGAAACTGAGAGCGAAACAGACCGGAGGTGTTACATCAGACCTCGCTCGGCTACAGGGCTTGAGAACTGAAGCTGGAGAATGCGATGGTGCAGCAGAGACTGGGTCTTTTTTCGTCTTGGGCCAGTGGCCGCCTCTGAGTGAAGTGATGATGGGAGGAGCAGGCAAAGCCAAACGCAGAAGGGGCGGAGCCAAGACTCCAAGATTCTGGGCCTACTCTTTGCCCTCTGGTCGTGTTTAGCGACTTTGAAAAATGGGGAGAAACTATCCAGGCTTTTACTGTCTGGCACATAGTTGGTGCCCGGTAATTGTTGAATGAATCGAATGGGCGAAGGTAGATTTTTTTCTTCCTTCATCAAGCAAGCTTGCCCAAACCTCTCATTCCTGGTTAGTTAAGTAGTACAGAGCTGTCCAGCCCCTTCCACTCCCGGAAGATTTGGAATGGATTTGCACCTCCAGGGGAGAGACATAGGGGGCGCTAAGAAGGATTATCTCTCCAGCTGGGTCCCTATCTTTTCCCCAGGAGGTCTAGAGTCCTGAGAAGAATGAGTGATCAGCTCAGCCCACCAAGAGTACCCCTTCTCGGTTGACCTGGAGATTTAGTGGTAGGGTTTGGGGCTCGACCCGCCCTGGGGCAGTGATGTCCCAGAACTTTAGGCTCAGACTTTGGGCCGCCGTCTCACCCCGTCCGCAGTTCCTGGTTCCAGGGTCCCCTCCGGGGAACCCCCGGAGCGGGAGCAGTGCTTTCCCCATCATCCATTGGTGGGGAGGGTGTGAAGGACGCTGAGGGCTACTGCTGTCGCCGAGAGCTGCCTCCTAGCAGGGCTGCGCTCTCCCTTCGTGCAGCCGCTTCATCTCCCTCTGCATAACGAAAACTGCTTCCCATCCATTATTTCATCAGGGCTTCGGGCACTTCTGCAAGGTGAGCAGCTCTGTGCTGTTACTCCATTTTAAAGATGGAACCGAGGCCCTGGAGGGGACGCGCCTTGTCCCGGGTCAAGCAAGTCGCGATGGGGAATTCAGGCATCCTAGTTTTCCCAGAATCCCTTCAACCCTCTCCCACCCCCCAATGCAGCAAGAAGGGAGAAGCCAGCAGCGGGGAAGGACCAAAGAGGGTTAACTTGGGTGAGGGACTTGCTTCCTTTTCCTTAGCCTGCTTAGGGAGGGGGTAGATGGGAGGACCGACCTCCGCTAAGGTTGAGCCTTGTAGGCGCGCACCACCTCGGGACGCGCGCCTCCTCCTCCTCCCTGCTTTGTTCGCGTCTCTGCGCCTGCGCAGTGCGACAAATCTGGCGCTGTCCCCTTCAGCACCACGCGGAGCCCGCGCCGCCCCTCCCCGCGGTGAGCCCCGCGCGCCCCTGTCGCGCACGTCCTCGCGCCCTTTGACTGCCCGGACAGACCCCTTCTTCCTTACGAGGTCACCACCTGCATGCCCTGGCGTTCCCAAGGAGAGCAGTTGCCATAGTAACTCTGGCAGTGCTTTCCTAAAATAGCTGGGCCCCCTTCTACCTTGGCCAAGGGCACAAGGGTTGACTGCTCCCCACTTCCTCCACTCCCAGCATCATCCCGTCTAACCTTTTACCCTCAGATAGGCAGGACACCTAACTCAGGCAGCAAGGAAGTTCTTTCTAAAGTCTGACTAACATCCCTCCTGCTGCATCCTGGGCGAGTGGTCAGGGTTGGGTCTCCTGGGTCCGAAACGCAAAACCCCTTAGGGCTTGAGGAAGTGTTTCCTAGATCTCTCTTCCTTAAGTTGACGGTCTCCTGGATTTAGGGGGCGGGTCCGGTCTACACCCATACTGGTGTGCTTGGCGCGGCCGCGTGCTCGTGGGGGCGGGAGCGCGTGTGGCATGTAACAGGTCATGTGGCAACCTCCTAGGGACACGCGTGGGGTCTGGAGCGGGACACGCGAGTGCAGCTGGGTCTGGCGTGTGGCTCAGGGGGCGGTGGAGGAAAGGGACCAAGACACGATTGGGGTGGGGCACGTGAGGGTCTTGGGAACAGAACCGGGGGTTCCATACATCCTCCCCCTCGTCAGGGGCGGGTCTCAGGTTGGCGGGATAGCCCAGCGGGGACCTAGCGTCGAGAAGGGGGGCCTGCCTCCGGGGCTCAGGGCTCCGGGAAAGGGCGGGGAGGGGGGTCGGCGGGGGGGGATTAGCTCTGCCTGAGCCGCGCGTAGGGGGGAGGAGGAGGGACTGAGAGGCAGGCGGGCCTGGAGCAAGCGGGAGCAAGCGGGAGCCGCGCTGCCTTCACAGCTGAGCTGGGCCCAGCCTCTTCCCCGCCTCTCCTCGGCCCCAGCTCCCGGCGAGCAGCGGTGAGTACTGAGGCAGCTCCAGTCGGAGCTGCACTGGGATGCCCTGGGCCCACACTGAGCTTCAGAAACCTGCCTGACAGGGTTGCTGCTCCTGACCTCTGCCCCTACCCTGCATTGCCACCAGAGGCCCCTTTACCGCTTTAAGGGCTGGACAAGATCTGTCATTCCCTTAAGAGGGAAGGAGGGACAGGGTCTGGCACAGCCTTCCCACCCAGAGACAGGTGACTGGTGGGGGTTGGGGGAGAGGGTGTGTGTTCTTGCTTAAGTATGTGTGTGAGGGTGCATCTGTGTTTGTGATTGTGACTAGTAGGTCTCAGTGTCTGATGCGCCTGTGTCTGTGTGCTTTGGAGAATGAGGCCCTGTGTGTATATTTGGGTGTCTCTTTGTGTGTTCTTGTTTAATGACAGTGTGTGTATGTGTGTAAAATAAGCATGTGCCTTTCCATTACACACATATTTGCTATGACTGTGAGTGTATGAGGGTGTGTCTTTGGGTGTGTATGTGTGTGTGCCTGGGTCTGTGTGTGCAGGAGGTATTGCCTATGAATATGAATATGTTTAAGTGTGTACTGACATTATTTGTCCGTGTGTGTGTGTGTGTGTGTGTCTGTGTACCTGTATGAAAAACAAGAATGTCCCTTTCCCATTCAGTATTAGGAGTAGGGGCCTTAGTTCTTCCCTTCACCATATGCCTCTCAGCCCCTCATAGTCCCTATATAACACACACACACCCCCATCTTCCTGGCTTTCCTTCTAAGAGGCCTGAGTTCTCTCTCAGTGAGGGGCCTCTGTAAGAGAGACTGTGAGGACCCAACGCTGTAAGATGGTTATGACTGGCTGACACTCCTCGTCCAGAGGGTGGGGTACCAGCCTTCCCCCTCCTCTACTAGAAGTAGCTCCAACATACCACAGGGACTCTGAGCTCACTCAACTTCTGAAATAGCTTCCTTTCTCCTCCCAGGGTGATTCTCAGGGCCCTCAGACAGAAGGAAAGGAGTCAGGGGCCTATTGGGGATACAATTTTTTTTTTTCCTCAGGCCTCCATGGAAGTGGCCCAAGTAGGAGGCCTGATCACTTCTAGGGGTGGGATCAATAATACCATATTCCCAGGACAGGCCAGGCCCCTGGCTCTCAGATGGCCCATCCCACTTTCCCCTCCCTGTCTCTGCTCTCCTGCCAATCCACCTTCCTTGCAGCTCACCCCTGCTCCCCCTTCCTCTCTTGCAGGCCTGTCCGAAGAGCATGCTGCCCCCTCACTCCCCGCCTGGCCTCGCCATCCCTGCCCCCCCAGCCTGACCCCCGGCCCCAGCATGGCCCAGGGTGCCATGCGCTTCTGCTCAGAGGGCGACTGTGCCATCTCCCCACCACGATGCCCACGCCGCTGGCTCCCCGAAGGCCCAGTACCACAAAGCCCCCCAGCCAGCATGTATGGCAGCACGGGCTCCCTGCTACGGCGGGTGGCAGGTCCAGGTCCCCGGGGCCGGGAACTGGGACGTGTGACAGCACCCTGTACACCCCTGCGTGGCCCTCCCTCCCCCCGTGTTGCTCCTTCACCCTGGGCACCCTCTTCACCCACTGGGCAGCCCCCTCCGGGGGCGCGGAGCTCTGTGGTCATATTCCGCTTTGTGGAGAAGGCCAGCGTGAGGCCACTAAATGGGCTACCGGCTCCTGGAGGCTTGAGTCGGAGCTGGGACCTGGGTGGGGTCTCTCCTCCCAGGCCCACCCCAGCCCTTGGGCCTGGCTCCAACCGGAAGTTGCGGCTAGAGGCCTCCACATCAGACCCACTCCCTGCCGGAGGAGGCTCAGCTCTGCCTGGCAGCCAGGGCCTTATCCATGGGCCACCAGCCCAACCTCAGGTTGGAGCAGATGGCCTTTACTCCTCTCTCCCCAATGGGCTGGGGGGACCCTCTGAGCACCTGGCCAAGCTATTCCTAGGACCTGCTGACACTGGACTCCTGAACCAGGTATGTGACCTCCTTTGGACTCCCTGGAACCCCAGGGACTCAGCAAAGAGGCAAGGAAGGTTTGGCCCCTTGGCAGTTTGGGGGCCCATCAGCTGTTCACTGTGAATTCTTCCATCTGTCCTAAATCAGTCTCTTTCTTGCCCTCCATGTTTGTCCCTGTGCCTCGGCACCTCTTTATGTGTCCCTGTGTGTTTTTCTTTCTGTGTTTCTATCCTATGTTCTTGTGTCTTGGTCATGTGGTGTTATCGGGTGGTCGTGTCTATCTCTTCCTCCTTGGCTTAGGGAGACACCTGGTCCTCCCCCCGGGAAGTCTCCTCTCATGCCCAGAAAATTGCTCGAGCCAAATGGGAATTCTTCTATGGCTCCCTGGACCCCCCAGGCTCAGGTAAGATCCTGGGTAAGACCAGGGGAACCGGGCAGGGCCATCTCCACAGCAGCAGAGGCATGATAGGGAGACTTCCTTTAAACCTCCCCCCAGTCCTTTCCTGGGCTCAGGAGTTGGCTAATGCCTCTCCAGGCCTCCAACTTTCCATCTGTGTTATGAGGGAGGGTCTGGGGATCCTGGCTGGGTTGGGCCCCTGGAGGAAGCTAGATTGTGGAGAGAAGGGATGGCAGGATATCAAGGGTCATTCCATGAAGTAGGAAAGAAGCTGCTCTCCTTCAGGCCTCTAAAAGTTATTTGACAAGAACTTGATTTGAAATGAGCTTCACTGGCACCAGGAACAGCTGAGTTTGTCGCAGGAAGAATGGTGGCTAGGTAGTGAAGGAACTTCCTGCTGATATGAGGCAGCGGGAAAGAGCTCCTTCCTAGGCCAGAATCTAGACAGGGAGCTGACCAGGATACCCTCTTGACCAGGATGCTTATGCATACTGCAGGTGCTAAGCCCCCAGAGCAGGCCCCCCCATCTCTACTTGGGGTGGGCTCTGGGCAGGGCTCTGGGGTGGCTGTGGGACGAGCAGCCAAGTACTCCGAGACGGACCTGGACACGGTGCCCCTGAGGTGCTACCGCGAGACGGACATCGATGAGGTGCTGGCTGAGCGGGAGGAGGCTGACTCGGCCATCGAGAGTCAGCCTAGCTCTGAGGGCCCACACAGCACTGCCCGCCCACCTGCCCCACGTCCCAGTCCATGCCTTGGCCCTTGTCCCAGCCTGGGCAGTGGAAATGAGGAGGACGAGGATGAGGCAGGTGGGGAAGAGGAAGTGGACGACGAGGTGTTTGAGGCCTCAGAGGGGGCCCGGTGAGTGCGGGAGTGGGAAAGGGACATGGCTTGCTCCTCAGAGCTGGCCGGGGGCAGAGCTGGGATCAGAGGAACGGGAATGGAGATGAGGGTGGGCCTGGGAGGGTCAGGGCCAAGCTAGTAGCAGGAGATTCTCAACAGAGGCCCCAGCCTGCCAGAATGCTGGGGATGTGGCGGGTCGGTGTATGTCGGCAAGAGCCCATAGGGTAGGGAGCAGCCAGGACAGAGGAGGAAGAACAAGAGGTAGAGTGAGAGGTCAGGGGCCAGAATCAAGCCTGGGGGGGCGTGGGAGCATCAATACAGATCCTAGATCCTGGCAGGAGAGTGGGGAGTGTGGGGGCTCTCCTCTCTGTCTCACACCCCACTGCAGCTTGGAGCCTCGTCTTCTTCTCCTAAGATGTTGCCAGAAATAGAAATGGGATGGCAGGAGGGGAGAGGATCAGGGAGAAGGAGGAGAAAGGGAGATTAGCAGGGAGGAAGAGAAGGAAGGGATTGGGTGCTGGGGACGGGTAAGGCTGGGGTGCCTCAGGGGCACTGAGTAGCTTGGTGAACCCATAGTGGGGATTCCCTACCCAGGTGGCTTTTTTAGAGGGCTGGGGGCCTATGAAAAGGATGTGATAATCCCCTTCGTATGAGAATTCAATGAATGCCACCCAAGAGCTGTCCTTTTGGCCGCTGATCAGAGACTCTCCCTGCCCCTGCAGGCCAGGCACCCGGATGCCTCATCCTGGGCCTCTCAAGTCGCCTGTGCCCTTTCTACCTGGGACCAGCCCCTCGGCTGACGGGCCTGACTCTTTCAGTTGCGTGTTTGAAGCCATCTTGGAGTCACACCGAGCCAAGGGCACCTCCTACACCAGCCTTGCCTCACTGGAGGCCCTGGCCTCACCAGGCCCAACCCAGAGCCCCTTCTTCACCTTTGAGCTGCCTCCCCAGCCCCCTGCCCCCCGGCCTGACCCGCCTGCTCCCGCCCCACTTGCACCTCTTGAGCCAGATTCTGGTACCAGCTCCGCCGCTGATGGGCCTTGGACACAGAGAGGGGAGGAAGAGGAAGCAGAGGCTGGAGCCAAGCAGGACCCAGGGAGGGAGCCTGCTAGTCCCTGCCGCTCAGAGGACAGCTTTGGGCTGGGGGCAGCACCCCTGGGCAGGTGAGTGATTCCTTTGGTTCTTCAGAGCTGAGCTGCTCCAAGGGAAAGAGCCTGAGAGTGCAAAGATGCAGTTTAGGTTCTTGACCCCTGATAGAGTAGCAAGGGGATGCAGACATCTGTTTTTCTATTTGAAGGACTACTTCCAAGGGAGGGGCTCCCTTGGTCTCAGATACAGTGACTTGAAAAACCGTGATTCAGAATTGAAGAGTCCGCAAGAACACCCTCCTTTCTTTCTAGGAAGGCCCTTCCTTCCCCTGGTGGAGCCTCTAACATGCTTGAAATTCTTGTGACCTTACCCCACCCAGCCTGGAGGCTTCTCACAAAGAGGCAGCCAACGGCCTGTCCCTTTGCCTCCCTCCCCTATCGCCTCCCCTCTCCAGTCAGGAGCCTCTCACCCTTCTCCAGGAAGTCCTTTCACCAGTCTAACCTTTCTGCTCTCCCTCTGCCAGCTACCCTCTCAGCCACGGAAGCCATGGCAACAGGAGGGGGTGGCCAGGGAGACAGGGTTGCCTAGCAACCAGGAGTTTCCGGCCTCTGTCTCTGGGGTGACAGGTGGCTTTGCTAGTAGAGCAGCTGGGATGGCGGGAAGGGAAGGGGAGGAGGAGACGGGATGAATGGGGTGCACGTTGACCCCCATTCCCCTCTACACCAGAGCCTCTTTGTGGGTAGAAGAGAAGAACCAAGGAGGAAGCTCCTCTGCCTTTTGATAGGGCAGAAGAAGAGAGACGTAGGAGTGGGAAGGTGTCTTTGCTGCCCTCAAATCCTTGTTTGACCCTCCACTGTTCCTGTCTGTATCCCACCTTTGCCCATATCCTCAGAGATAGAGGACTATGTTCTCAGTAGGGCCAAAGTGGAGATGGGAAATCTGTGCCTAACAGCGAACTCCATAGGGAGCTTTGGAGAAGCAGACAAAATTCCCACAGCAGAAGGATGAATAGGAGTTAAATTTGATGTAGGACTTCTACAGAGAGATGGTAAAGATGGAATCAGCTGATAGAGGGAACCTGTACAGTGTCCTTCTCCGGAGGAGAGAAAACTGTCTTCCCCGTGTCTCCAACTGCCCCTCTCTGCCTTCTGGGTTTGGAGGCAGAGAAAGGATCTGAATGGCCCCAGAGGGACTGCCCCACCTCTGAGCTGGTGTTCTACCCCGGCAGTGAGCCACCACTGAGCCAGCTGGTGTCTGACTCGGACTCAGAGCTGGACAGCACGGAGCGGCTGGCCCTGGGAAGCACAGACACCTTGTCCAATGGGCAAAAAGCAGACCTGGAGGCCGCGCAGCGCCTAGCTAAGAGGCTGTACCGACTAGACGGCTTCAGGAAGGCCGACGTGGCCCGGCATCTGGGCAAGAAGTAAAGTCACTGGTTGGGAGTGAGCATGGGGCAGGGGGGAATGCATCCTGTGGGCAGCACCTCCTCATCCTTTCTATCTAATGGCCCCAAGTCTGTAGGTAACCCCACTTGGCCCCTTGACCCTTTCCCTTGAGACGCCACCTGTCTATCTGCCCTGCCCACAGCAATGACTTCAGCAAACTTGTGGCTGGCGAGTACCTCAAGTTCTTTGTCTTCACGGGCATGACTCTGGACCAAGCTCTCAGGTGGGTGTTAAGCCTTTTGAGGGCAGCCCCCCACTCTCCAGGCCTGGTGTGCAGGGCCTCCATTGTACCTCCTCTGTGCCCCTGGGCCTCTCTTCCAAGCTGCCCTGATGTCATACTTCCCAGGCTGGCTGGGCATGGCCAAAAGATGGGGCTGCCTGATTAGGGGACCTTGGGTAGGGGTGACATGCTCCCTCTTCCCCCCTCCCCAGGGTGTTTCTGAAGGAGCTGGCATTAATGGGTGAGACCCAAGAACGGGAGCGCGTGCTGGCCCACTTCTCCCAGAGATACTTCCAGTGCAATCCCGGAGCCCTGTCCTCAGAGGGTGAGGAAGGCAGAGGGCAGGGCTCTCCCAGAGGGTCACCAAGGCAGATGGGCACAGTGTGTGTGTGTAGGAGCGTGAGTGTGTGTATGTTGGAGTGAATGCCCACACAAGCTTGCAGGCATGTGAGCGTGAGTGTGTGTATGTTGGAGTGAATGCCCACACAAGCTTGCAGGCACGTGAGCATGCGTGTGTGCAGTGGTGATGTGGCTTCATGAATGTGGAACTGTCCACATACAATGTGATTTGGCGGCACGGGGCAGTATAACGCTGAGGGGTCCCACTGGCTTGTGTGCCCTGCACACTCGCAGAGGCATGGGGGTGCTGGGGAGAAGGTCCCTTTTAGGGAATCTGCTGGAGAAGAAAGGGCTTTGGCAGGAGGAGGTGGGGTTCACTGTGGGGTTCAGGGTTTACAAAAGTGTGATTATGGGCTAAAGAGGGCAGGAGATAAACTGGAAGGCTGGGGAAGATAGCTGTGGGAAGGATCCGTGGGAAGTGGCTGAGGCTAAATGTCGACTCTCCCGTAGACGGTGCGCACACGCTGACCTGCGCCCTCATGCTACTCAACACCGATCTCCACGGCCATGTGAGTGAGGGGCTAGCGGAAGGGAGCCCAGAAAACAGACCGCGTCCAGAGACTTCAAGGTCTGGGGCCCACGGTCCCCCTCACAGGCCTCTATGCCCTCACTTAGAACATTGGGAAGCGCATGACCTGCGGAGACTTCATCGGAAACCTGGAGGGCCTCAATGAAGGCGGAGACTTCCCCAGGGAGCTGCTCAAGGTTGGGGGAGGGGGGGGGGGGGGGAGACACAAAGGGGGATGGGACAGGGTAGAGGTTGCTGGAGGGAGGGATGGGGACCTGTCAGCGTGGAGGTTGATGAGGTGAGGGGCTTGCGGGCCCCCAGCTCCTGCTGCTGAAGCCTGGGCTTTCCCGTGACTCAGCTTGGGGACTGCCCCCTCCCCCAACCCCCACGCGGCAGGCTCCCCTGGAACATGCGCACTTGCGTGCAGTCTTGGCCATTCGCAGCGGGGTAGGGGAGACAGCTCTTGAAAACCCGTGATGAGGGGGCCTGGGACCTTGCATTTTCCTTAGGGTCCCCTCCTCCAGGGTTCTCTGAGCATGGGAGGGGTCTCAGCATGGGGATGGGGACACTCAGTTTCACTGTTTGCCTCCAGCCCCTCCACCCCTTGCCCCAGGATATATGGCCACAAAGCCCCCCCCCCCCCCCCCCCCCCCGGGGCAGGTACTGCTGTGCTGGAGGGAGCTGGAGATAGAGGGCCCAAGAGGTTGCCAAAGGCTTTTCCAAGGTCTCAGAGCCAGTTATATTCAAGCTGGGACTAAACACTTCTTTTCTGACTCCCTCGTCGCCAGCCCCTGCTCCTACATGCCAGCCCTTGAGGGATTTATCCTACAAGGACTGGTATGCATGGGAGGAGGAGAGGCTGTCCTGGCTGGCCCTGCACGTTCACTCCTTTCCCTGCTCCATTGGTTTCATGAAGGGAGACCTGGACTCATTTAAAACCTCTAGGGTTGGCAAATGGGTCTCTGGGCCATCACATACATGTGACTGCACAGGAGTGTCCTTGGGTCCATCTGTGAGCTTGGGGTGTGCTGGGCTTCTGAATTTGGGGATTTATCCAAGTGGGGGGCGTTCATTGTGAGTTTGGAGTGTCAAAAGAGTTGGGGTGTATGCTTGAGTTGCATATATATATATTCATATGTATATATACCTACATATATATGCTTTAGGGAGTTGGCAAATCAGGCGGTTTGGCTTGGGGTATGTGCTTTAACGGCCTACGATTTAGAGTGTGTTTATGTGGGGCTGTACGTTGGGTGTTTCTGTATATTAGGTTGTATATCTACAGATTGGCTCTCTGATTTATGACATGAATCCGTGAGTGGGATTGTTTCGTTTGTTTTTTAGAGATTTTACTTATTTGACAAGGGCAGGGGACAGCAAACACAAGCAGGGGCAGCAGGCATGGGCGCAGGGAGAAGCAGGCTCCCCGCTGAGCAGGGAGCCCTGATGTGGGGCTCTGGGGGTTGATCCCCACATCCTGAGATCACAACCGAAGCCAAAGGCAGCGGCTTAACAGACTGAGCCACCCTGGTTCTCGCATGAGCAGGAGTTGTAGGAGTTAAAGACTAAATTCTGATGTGTGCATCTGAATTTGCAGTGTCTGTGAATTGGGGGTGAGTGTGGATTGGTGATTTGGCTAGTTGGAGTGTATGTCTGTAAACTGGAGTGTGTGTACGTGAGTTGGGGTGTAGCCTCGGGCGTTTGAGCTGTCTTTGGCTGGGTGAGTTGGTTGAGACGGCTGCAATTCCAGGGCTGCCTCCATTCCGCACCGCCCCTCCTGCGTGGCCTGTCCTGGCTCGGGGCGGGGAGAAGGGGCCTACCGAACGCGTTCCGATCTCCTCCGCCCATACCCTGACGAGCCCGGAGGTAGCTGCAGACCCTTTACAGGGTCAGCCCACCTTCGTAGACGCAGGCCCGGGGGCGCCCGGGGGCTCCCGGCGCCCTCGCCACCGCCCGCGGCGCCGCGCACCTCCCGTCACCGGCCCCGGCGGGCCCCTGAGGCCCCGCCCCCATGGCGGCGGCGCGCCGCGAGCCCCTGCGCGGTCGGACGCCTCCATTTTGCGCCGTCCCCGCCCCCAACCCTCGCCCTCCCTCCCCGTCGGCGGCCCCCTCCCGCTCGCGCGGAGCCGCAGAGCCGACAGCGCCGCCGCCGCCGTGCGCTCCGTGCGTCGGTGGGAGCCGGGCCGGGCTTGGGCCGGGCCGGGCCGCTCGCGCCGGCTGTCGGGGGAGCCGTCCGCGGGCCGTCCGGGCCGTCCGGGCCGAGGGCGGGCGGGGGCATGGCCGGGGGCCGCGGCGCGCCGGGCGGGCCAGCATGATCGGCGTCAACAGCATCCACAGCAGCGCTGGGCGGCTGCGCTCGCGCTCGCTGTGCTCCGTGCGCTACGGGCGCACCCACCGCGGCGCGGAGACCCTGTGCTACGGCTGGCCGCAGCGCTCGCGCAGTCTCAAGCCCGTGCTGTACACCGACCTGGTGGTCAGCCGCCTGCAGAGCCGCAAGAAGAAGAAGGCGGTGAGGGCGTTGGGGCCGCGGCCCACGCCAGGCTGGGGGGGGGGGCGGCCGAGGGGGTTGTTGGAGGGCGGCGTGGCTGAGGGGGCGGTGTGAGGGAGGCACCGAAGGGGGCTCGAGCCGAGGTGGCATCGGGCGGACTGAGGGGGGCCGAGCCCAGCGGGGACAGAGCCCATGGGTAGCCAGGAGTGGGCATGGACTGGAGGGGGAAGGGCAGAGACGGGCGGGTTAAGGTGGGCATCTCAAACCAAAGGTTTGGGTCTTCTGGCTGGGAGCATGACGTGGGGCTCACCAACAGGATTTAGGACTTTGGAAGGAAGTCGTGGTTGTGGGCGAAAGGGGGTCCTCTCAGGGGCCGGGGATAAACTGGAGGATTGGAGACAGGTCGGATCTGGGTGGCCACTTCAACCTCCTGGCCCAGAGTTGGAGAGTGGAGGTTTAGTGTGGGGGGTTCGGTCAGGCTTGAGCTGGGAGTGTGCTGGGAGGGCTGTGTGTGCATAAAGCTGGGTTGTTCTGTGTAGGGGGTGGAGGTTGTGGGATGTACCCACCCTGAACAGGAGGTGCACAGGTGGGCTGCTGGGCTAGCCTTGTGGCTGAGTGTGACAGTGGGCAGTGAGAGAGCCAGTGACTGTGGTATGTTGGTGGTGGGGTGGGGGGCTGTATCCCATCACAGGGAAGGCACCGACGTCACTACTGCACCCAGATCACGCAGGCAGCATCACACGCCACACGCTTAGCCCAACACGCACATGCTGGAGACACACCCACTCACAGACAGGCTGGTGGAGTCGCCCCCACAGTGGGAGGTGCTGCAGTGGACCCATGCTGCAGGCCACTCCCAAGAAGAGGGGTCCCCTCTAACTCCTGGAGCCCATTCTCTACCCTACCACCCCAAGACCCCAACAGTGCCCCCATGACAGCTGTACAGAGGAGAAGTGACTGGTTCAGAGTTGACAGGGAGCTTGGGCTGTTCAGGGTTTGGAAGCTGTAACTTCTGCCTTTTAGTGTTCAGTCCCCAGTAACAAGAAGGATGTGAGTGGGGAGGGGGCTCACTCACCCTGGCATTAGACTTGCTGGGGCTGTCTGGGCTGGAGGAAGTGCTCACCTTGCCCCGGGGTGAGGAGCCGTGAGAATGTATTCTCTGATAGCTAGAGAGGGAAGTGATGGGGTGAATCCCTGTTGCTGGGCCTCAGTTTCCCCATATGTTCTGTGTGGGTTTAGCCTATGGAAATGGGCCAAGGCACATGACTGGGGGAAGGAGAGTTTCTTGGGATGCTCTTGTCTATTCCTTCCAGCACTGTGCTTCTCCCACTCAGGATCTGGGCGGGATGACCCCTCACAGTGGCAACAGCACAGATAATAACGGCCACTGCCATTTCCTGTGCGCTGGCCGTGTGCCTGGGTGCCCTGTGCCGACTGCCTGCTCTACGTCACACACCTGTTACTACGTTCGTTCTCCCCCATAGATACTTGTCCAGAGTCCTGCATCGAAAGTGACATAGTACTGTGTCCTAATACTCTGTTTTCAGAGCCTCCATTCTTGGTCATCACCCCCTGGTCCCTGTTGTCTCCTACCCTGACTTAGGAGGGCAGGCTCTGAGCTTTGGCGTTGGGATACATGGTTTACCTTCCCCATGAGTGACCCATACCTGCCTGATTTGTTCCTCCCTTCCCAGGCCTTGTACAGCTCCATCAAGAATGAAAAGCTGCAGTGGGCCATGTGAGTCCTGGGGCTATGTGGTGAGGGAGCTGGGGGGTGGGGAAGGGGCTGCCCGGAGAGGAGTGCTGAGGCAGTCTCTGGGAGTCCAGGCTGGGTGTGGGGTAGGGGAGGCGGGTGAGGCCATGAGAGGCACTGAGGCAGCCTCACTGCCTTGTTTGGAGATGGCTGCCTGGACTCGGGGATCTGTGTCTTTTCTTCAGCTGGGTTGTTATGACAAGCTAGGCTGGGGTGGGTGGCCACTGTCAGCGGGCCTGGGAGGAGGAGTACTGAAACAAAAAGGGAAGGTCCCTTGGCAAGCCAAGTGGGAAAGCAGAAATCTCTAGAGGTAGAGCCCCCTCTCAGGTCCTAGAGGATGCAGAGTGTCCTAGAACAAGGGACCACACTGTCTACTCTTGGCAGCCTTAGTGGAAAGAAACTCAGAGTAAGTCTTAGAGGAGTCCAGACTAAGGGAAGAGGTCCAGATTTAGCCTCAGGGCCCCCAGTCTGAGGGGGAGAGCCTCATATAGGCAGCCAGTAGATCACTCATACTTGCTGCTGTCTGCAGAGGCCAGTCATGGGAGCTCCCAGTCTGCAGGAGAGATGGCCTTGGGGGAGGCAGAGCTCAGGACTGGGGTGCAGACTGGGGCTTGGGGCAAGCCTTGAAGGAGGGGAAGCATTTGGGGAGAGGGAAGTTGACATTTGGGAGGCAAATATGTGGTGGCTGAAATGAGTGTGGGCTGTGGGGTGGGGAGACCAAGAGGAGGCAGGCCTGGCTGGCTGGAGAGTGTTAGGAGGAAAAGGCAGCGTTGGCGGGGTTGGAGCATGGGCTCTTTGTGGGAGGCAATAGGGAGCTACTGCAGGTTTTTCATCAGCAGAGTGACAGGGTAGAACTCGATTCTTTAGATATTATCTAGCAAGGCCTGCTGAACAAGAGGTACTAGGTGACCACTAGGAAGCTACTTCTGCCACCATTTAGCCAACAAACTATGAGCAAAGCGTGCTGCTGGGTGTGGTTGAGACCATTGCGTCAAAGGTGTGTCTGCCCTAGTGAAGAAGGGGGTGAGGGTTGGTGTGTGTGTGTATGTGTAGAAACAGAAAGGATGGAGATGAAGGAACAGTCATGGCCCTACCCCTGAGAGCTCTAACCTAAGTGAGAAGTTATGCTACTTGGAGGAATCCTCATCTGAGCAGGGGGGCACAGCTACCCCTGGGGAGTTCTGATCTGAGGTGGGAGACAAGGCTCCGGGGAGCCTCGGGTTGAGGGTAGCCACAGCCTGTGAGGGGGGGGGCCATTCCCCTACTCCCTCCACAGACAAGGGGGTGCTTTCCTGGGGAGGGGGCAGAGGCTAGGACTGAGCGGGGGTTGTGGCTGCAAGGCCAGCCCCCTTTGAGGTGATCACACCTGCAGAGACGAGGAGGAGCTGAGACGCTCTCTGTCTGAGTTGGCCGACCCCAACCCCAAGGTCATCAAGAGGGTCAGCGGGGGCAGTGGCAGCGGCTCCAGCCCTTTCCTGGACCTGACTCCTGAGCCCGGGGCTGCAGTCTACAAGCATGGGGCCCTGGTGCGAAAGGTGCACGCAGACCCTGACTGCAGGAAGAGTACGTGGCTGGGTGGGGCGGGTCTGGGGGATGGAGGGGAGGGGGCCTGTCTCAGGCCCCCTGACCTGTCTTCCTTTCCCCCAGCACCTCGGGGCAAGCGGGGCTGGAAGAGCTTCCACGGGATCCTCAAGGGCATGATCCTCTACCTGCAGAAGGTGCGGGGCCAGCCCAAGGGGATGGGGCTGAGCTGGCTCGGGAGTGTGGGTGGGCTGGGCCAGGCTGGGCGGGACCACGGCCAGGACAAGACAGGCACCCCCGCAGGAGGAGTACCAGCCCGGGAAGGCCCTATCAGAGGCAGAGCTAAAGAATGCCATCAGCATCCACCATGCACTGGCCACGCGTGCCAGCGACTACAGCAAGAGGCCCCACGTCTTCTACCTGCGCACAGCAGACTGGCGGGTCTTCCTCTTTCAGGCCCCGTGAGTGCCCTCCTTCTGCCCATCCCAGACCCCTCTGTCCCACTTCCACCTTGCTCCCCTCCCTTGTCCCTGGATTGCCTCACTTCTTCCCAGGCCACACCCTGAGCCAGCACAGGCATCCCAGGACACAAGTCCTGGGCCCTCGTCCTAAGTGGCCGTGTTGTCTCCGCAGGAGCCTGGAGCAGATGCAGTCCTGGGTCACTCGCATCAATGTGGTGGCTGCCATGTTCTCTGCACCCCCCTTCCCAGCTGCTGTCAGCTCCCAGAGGAAGTTCAGCCGCCCTCTGCTGCCCAGTGCTGCCACCCGCCTCTCCCAGGTACCCCCAGCTCCACTATCCATCCCCAGTGGGATGAAGTGGGGCAGGCCCAGCCGACTGCACTTAGGGCTGCTATAGGCAATTACGTAGATGTCCACCACACCGGGACACTGGCCATGGGGGGGCGAGTGAAGGCTGGAATCCAGTTCCATTCCACTTGCCTAGGTATTAACCTAGACAACTGTGCTTTGCTCATCCAAAGGATGGGGCACCTTTTTTAAAAACATGCACAAAGGCATCTATGTACTAGAGTGACCCTGACTACACTCCCCCGGCCCTAGGAGGAGCAGGTGCGGACCCACGAGGCCAAGCTGAAGGCCATGGCAAGTGAGTTGCGAGAGCACCGGGCTGCACAGCTGGGCAGGAAGGCCCGGGGCAAGGAGGCGGAGGAGCAGCGGCAGAAGGAGGCCTACCTGGAGTTTGAGGTGAACCTTCTGGCCCCGGTGCCTCTGTGGCTCCTTTGTCTGCCATTGGGACTTCTCTGTTCCACATACAGGCTCAGGCTAATGGTTAAGGGCACGGGCTCTAAGATAGGGGGACCAGCTGGGTGACCTGGGGCAGGTTGCTTAACCCCTCTGGGCCTGTTTCCTCTTCTTTGGGCCAGGGGATGCCATTCTCTACCCACTAGGTAATGAAGTGAGATGGGGTCTGCCAAGCGCTCAGGGGCTCGCTTTCCCCAGCTCTAGTCAGGCTCAGGAGGTATCAGCGGTTACACGACGCAGCAAGAGTGCCCGCAGAGGATCACCAGCTTACCAGGGGATCATGTCACCGTGGGGGCTTTGGGGCCCTAGAGGTGGACAGAAACCTGCTGTCTCCTAGCTTTTGTCTGCAGATGGGGGGGTGAGACAGGCAGAGGGTGGAGAGCAGGCTCACAGCACCTGCCCCTCTACCTCAGAAATCCCGCTATGGCACGTACGCGGCGCTGCTTCGGGTCAAGCTGAAGGCGGGCAGTGAAGAGCTGGATGCGGTGGAGGCGGCACTGGCCCAGGCCGGGAGCTCGGAGGATGGCCTCCCCCCACCTCACTCCAGTCCCTCCCCGCAGGCCAACCCTTCCAGCCAGCCCAGGGCTCAGGGTCCCGGCTCAGAGCCTCGCACAGGGGCAAGCAGTGGGCGGTGGAAGCTCTGAGCTAGGGGGAGGAGCGTGGGGGGTCAGCGCCCACTGGGCACCTGCATGACAGCCCCGCCTGAGCCCGGGCCGGCCTCGGGCCACCCGCCAGGGCCCCTCGGCCCAGGGCCCGACCGCGCCGGACGCGGTGTCCGGGGCAGGGCAGGGCTAGGGCCTGGGCCTTGGGAGCCTAGGTTAGGGGCCCCTCTGAGACCCCCATTTTGTGATAATGTTTTGCACTTTTTCGTACGGGGTGGGGGGCTGGGGTGGGAGGGGCCAGGGCCCCTTGGACTTTTGATGCTTTTTTTTTTTTTTTTTTTTTTTTTGGCGGCGGGGGAGGCCTGACGTTTCTGCTTTCTGCTGAGACCACCCCCACCCGACACCAGCAATCCCCCTCCATCCTGGGGCCTGGCTCAGATAGAGGCCAGGAGTTGGGGCTGAGCTGGTTTTCCCTCCTTCCTCCCTGAGGCTCACCCTCTCTCCTTCCAGAGGCAGAGGAAGGGTATCCATGCCTAGGCCCCCTACAGAGTCTGGGGACAGCATGGCCTTGCTTTCCCTCCTTCAGTGGGCCCTGCCCTTTGTACAGCCTCCCCTCCCATTAAAACTGCTCTGGACTTGCTGGCTGGGCCTCCTTCTCCTCTCTCCAGTACCTGGCTTGGGGCCGGGGCAGGCAGCTGGTTCCAGGGACGAGAGTCACATCAGGAGTTGCCATAAGTTAGGGAGGGGGCCGTGCCCTCTCCCTTTCCCATGAGAATCCTTTATTTGCCTCAACTGAGGGGTGGGCACGGGGTGTTAAATAAGAACTGGAATAGGCAGGGGTGCTGTACAGAGGGGCCCAGGGAGGGGCTGGTGGGTGGGCAGCAATTCAGTGCACCTGAGGCTGGGGGTGCCCATGGCAGAGCCCTCCTGGTGGCTCAGGGGGTGAGCCCAGCTTCTCTGCCTCCTGTTCCACCGACTGGCTCCCGTATGCACTGTCCTCCTTCACCTCTGCTAGGCGAGTGGGCACAGGGAAGGCGACAGGGAAAAGTTTAAGGTCTTAGGCCTCCCACCCTCTAGGCCCGGATCTGCGTTCCAGGTAGGACCCCTTTACCTGTGCTGGGCAGCTTCTCTCGGGCCTCGGGACCCCTCAGCAGCCTTACTCCTTCCTCCAGGCCCATGTCAGATAGGGCACCCAGCAGGCCTGCCAAATCTCCACCGGCCAGCTGGGGAGAAGGAAGAGGCAGGAGATTGGAATGTAGGATCAGGAGCCCCGGGGCCAAGGGAGCCCCTGAGATCTGAGACAGGGGAAGGAAGCCAGGCTCGGAGCAGGGGGTGGGGACCAGCTGACCTTGTAACTGCGCAGGAGGCTGCCGCTGGGTGAGGCGGTCTTCCGGTACGTGTCCACCAGACTGCGCAGCCCCAGCCGTTCTGCCAGTTCCGCCCAGCTGCCCGGGGCTCCTGGCCCATCTAGCAGATGCTCCAGGTTCTGTAAGGCTGTATCCTCAAGTGGTGGCTCTGGCCCTGATAGGGACACACATGCAGCTGTATCTGTCAGGCCCAGAGACGCGCCCAGGCAGGCACCTTGCTCTCCAGGGAGTCTGACAGGTAAGGCAGTTGGTACCAGGGCAGTGCGTGGCAACAGGAAGGGAGCAAGGGAGCCCTGCTTTAGAGGTTCTAAAGAAGGGACCTCTGTGAGCAGGGGCCTGCAGTCTGCCCCAGGGGAAGAGCTCTCACCTGCAGGGCTGGGCGGGGTAAGGGGGGGTGCCGTGGCATCCTGAGCAGCATTTAGCAGCAAGGTCTTCACCTGGGGAGACAGCCTCAGTTTGACGACCTCCCACCCCAGGCCTCAAGTCCAGGCACCAGCCATAAGCCCACCAAGTACCCCATTCCCTGGGGCCTCCTGTTCTAGGCTAGCCTCACCTTGGTGCTGCGAGTGAGGTCAAGAGGAGTGTGGCCCCGGAAGCTGCCTCGGGTGTCCCTCTCAGGTCCCTCAGAATCTGAGTCGCTACCAGAGGTTGGGGGCGAAGGCAGTGGGCACAGGGGCTCTTCATTCTCTGCGAGGATATCGGCCCCTGGGGAGGGAGGTAGTTGTGAGGAGGTACAAGTGGAGCCCACATTGAGAACTGCAAAGGGGGGACTGGGAGGCACCCCTTTTCCTCCCCACCAGCCCTGTTCATAGGCCCCAAGGATGAGACTCACCAGCCTTCAGGAGGAGGCGGGTGAGAGTGGGGGATCCCAATCCAGCTGCCAGGTGTAGGGGTGTGTTTCCGGCAAAGGTGCGGGCATTCACGTTGGCACGGAGCTGTGGGATGCAAGGGAGTGGTTGATCCCAGCATCCACTGTCTGGCCTCCCTTTCCCTGCATCTTCACTGTCCCTGGTTCCACAACCCTTGGCCCCGCCCCCTCACCAATCCTCTGTCCCACCTTGGTGACCAGATGTGTGACCAACCCCAGCTCCTCCATCTCCGTGGCTAGATGCAGGGCTGTTCGGCCCCCCTGCCTTTCTGCAGCCTCCACTTCAGCCCCACTGTCGACCAAGAGATCCAGACATTCGGGGCTTCGGGCATGGACTGCCAGGTGTATTGGGTACAGGCCTAGGGACACAGACACTCAGCCCACGGCTGCGACCCCAACGTAGCCCCCTGACCAGCTGACATCAACACCTCGCATTCACACCAGGCACGCACCATGCGCCCTCCGTGGTCCACACCTTTGCCCCCAGTCCAGAGGAGGTGATGAACTCACCCTCGAAGTCCGGCATGTGCAACAGCTGGTGCATGGCGGGAACCCCACTGTGCAGCAGGGTGCGAAGCAGGTCGGGGGCACTGGCCCCCGCCCGCAGAGCCAGGTGCACCGCGGAGTCTCCATGCCGGTCCAGCAGGGCCGGGTCTGCGCCCACCTGCAGCAGGAAGCTCACCACGCTCGTCTGCCCGGTGATCACTGCCAGGTGCAGTGGCGTCTGGGGATGAGGCCAAATGAGCCAGGTCCACCCCCAGCCTCGGCCCACCCGCCTTCCAACTCCTTCCGCCTCATCCTAGGTGCCCCTCACCTGGTGCAGGTGATTGGTCAGGTTGACAACACCGAGATGCCGGGCGTGGTAGATGACGTGAGCTATTTGCTCGATGACACTGGTCTGCCCATGGATGATGGCGAGGTGCAGTGGCCTGAGGAATGTGAGAGTGAGACTGCGGCTTAGGGAGCCCAGCCACTCAGCATCCTCTACCCTCAAAATCCCACCGCCTCCACGATCTGTCACTGGGGCTTGTGGAGCTCAAACGTCTCCAGGGCCATCGCTGCCCCCGAACTTAATCCTTCCGAGCACCGTGTGCAGTATGTCGGTACTATGGTGCTCTCTCAACAGCCAACAGAACTGAAGTGGGGACAGTACAAGTACCTTGAGCACAGCTAGTACATAGCGAGGCCGGACTTGGAACCGGGTCCATCCGACTCTACAGCCCTGGCTCCTTGCAACTTCCTTCCCCGCCCCGCACCCCACAACCTTCCTTCGCCCTCCAAGTCCCTGACTGGCCCTGGGGACCTGGGTCTGCCGCCCAGCCGGCCGCCCGCCCACCTACGTGTCTCCGTTCTCGTCCTGAGCCGTCAGCAGGTGGCGCTGTCCTGCCAGCAGGGCGCGCGCGTCCGCCGTGACGCCGTAGTCGAGCAGGGCTCGGGCGCTGCGCTGCGCCAGGCCGAACAGGCGCGCGTTGTACTCCCGGGCTGCGGGCGACAGGGGCGTCGGCACGGGCTCGGTCCCCACCCGCAGCGTCCCGACCGCCCGGATTCAAGAGGCTGTACCTCGCTGCAGCAGGTCCGGGGCCTGCGGTTCGCGGTGGGGGGTCAAGGGGGACGCGCTCGGCTCCGCTGCTTCCTCCCCAGCAGCCACGCGGGGTGCCTCGGCGGCCATCTGCGGCCCGCCCCCGCCTCCGGGGTAGCAGCCCATTGGGGCCGAGCCCGACGGGTAGGGGCTGTAGGCCAAGGAGGAGGAGAAAAAGCCGAGGCTGCCACCTGCGGATACAGGCCGGGATGTGGGTAGGAGGCACCAGCCAGGACTCTCCCAATTTCTAACCCCCCAACTTCTCTCCTTACCCATCCTCCCTCCTCCCTCCCCCTTCCCGCTACCAGCAGCCCCTCACCTCCTCCAGCTCCTCCATAACCCCCAGCCGAGCCCCCAGAGCCTCCACCCATGTGGGAGCCACCCCCGAAGGGCTGCGAGAAGGTAGGCAAGGCTTTCCTCCGTTTCCGCTGCACCTCCTCCTTGTCTGGGGCCAGAGGGAAAAGAGATGTTAAAACCCCAACTTATGGACCATGCTTCAAGAGCTCTGTCCTGAGTTTGGTCCTGGCCCTCCCTCCAAAAGCCCTCACCGTGTCTCCTAGGACCACCTCTTCCTGGGACCTTCCCCACTCCTGACTTGACTCATGGGTCCCCTGATCTAGTTCCGGGACAGTCCGGCCCAGGGCTCCCCCCCACCCCTCAGCCCAGCTCCACCTTCCACCAGAGGGTAATAGGTGAACTGTTTGGAGTCGGACACATCACCGCCCCGCTTGCGTTTCAGCTGTAGGAACACGGTTACAGGACGCTCAATCTTCATCTTGTGATAGGGGGGTGTCCGGAACACAATGGCATACTGGCAGGGGGTTGGAGGACATAAGGGGGTATTGAGGTCTTGGCCTAGTTCAGGACCCCCCCCCCCCCCCCCCCCCCCCCCCCCCCCCGCCCTGGCCCTGGCCCTAGGGTACCTGTTTGTGAACATCTGTGGGAGAGAAATCCCCAAAGGCCTGCCATCCGTTCTCATCATCTTCGTAGAACCGAACCTCAATGTCATCTATAGGGAAAATTGAAGCTTGGCCATAGCTTCTATTAGAATCTCCAGGGCCTTTTGTCCTAGAGCTGCCCCGGCTCCCCATCTTGATACCCAGTGGCCCTAGCTCCCAGCCTGGGCTCCAGCCTCACCTTTCTGCACCTTGTCACAAAGCAGGTAGACCTCATCTCCACCCCGCACAGAGCCAGCTGTCTTGTCCATTCGAGAAATCTTCAGGTTTGAGGCCCCAGGAGACTCTGTAGCGGTGGGATTTCAATTACTTGAGATGACATAATAGCCATGGCTCCATTTATGGAGCCAGGTGCTTTGTATTATTAGTTGAACACCCACAAGAGATACAGGAATTGCTAGTATCTTCATTTACCCAAGATGGAAGCCGTACTCGGGAAATGACTTGCTCAAGATTCCTCAGCTCACGTGTGGTGGGGCCAGCTCAAAGCTGGGCCCGTCTGACTCCACAGCTTGAGACTGCTCCCATGCTCCCTCTAGCACCTCAGCCTGGCACCCCAGATGATCAGGATACTCACTGCTGTCATGGATGGGCTGGGAAATAACAGGCTTCAGGGGCAGCGAGAAGGAGCCATCGCTGGCTCGAAGGAAGGCGGAAAAGCGCAGCCTCACAATGCTCAGGTCCATCACCTTCTTCAGCTCCTTGGCCTCCTGCTCCAGCTCCCGCCGCTCAGCCTCTGGGCAGTGGGCATGGTGGACATACACGTGATCACTGCCCTCTTCCTCCTCTTCTACTCCTTCCACGGTCACCTCCCACGACCCCTCCCTCCGTACCAGTAAGGCCCTGGGGCCTGGAGCGGAGTCGCTGCCT